TGAGTGAGAAAACAAAATGCTGTTTGTTCACAGGGATTACACTAAAGGCTCAATTGTAATCTTTTAGCTGTGATAAATACCTGCAACGATACATCAGTATCTGTAAGGAAAAACTTACTCCAGCTTACATGACATTTGCCACTGTGCAGTAGGTGCCCTCTTTGTTAAGTGTTTAAAGACCAAGTTTCTTCACCCTCAGTGTAGACTGCGTCCATAGAATCAGAGAATGGTTTCACAAGAGTGACATAAAGATGGGACAGAGTGGATCTGAGTCAGTTTTCCTTGCTCCTTCATCTTTCCTGCTTTGGTTCCAGTGTGGGTGGATCACTGTGGATGTCCAGGGGATGACAATACAAACCTCATTTCTAATCCTTGAGGTGTTGCTGGTTTTATTTTCTAACACTGCAATCTAATATTAGACCTGAGACTTTCAAATTAGAATAGAACATAAAGTAAATGCACCCAAGTTAGGGGTGCATCTGCTGGGGGTGGGCCTGACCATTAGGTGGTCCTTCACTACCTCACCGGAAACAAAAAATTGGTTTTTTGGGTTTAATGGTCACCATTGTATTCCTGATTCATCATTCACATGCCCTGACTGCAATCAGAGTAATGTTTTCACTAATCTCAGGAGGCTTTCATCAGCTTCACCCCAATCTTTTATTGCTCCAGCTCTCTCTCTCTCTTTCTCTCTCTCTCTCTTTCTCTCTCTCTCTCTCTCTCACACACACACACACACACACACACACACACACACACACACAGTCATTCCCATAATTACTGATTTCTTTAGCATTAGGGCAGTGCCTTTCATTTTCTGCCTGCTTGTTCGCATTTCTACTTTGCACAGTTGTACAAATCATAAAAGGAGACTGGATTTGTCTTGGATTATTGTGAAATACTTAGTTAGCGGGATGCATGGGTAACTGCGTATTGGCCATGAAGTTTCCTCATTGACCCAGATAATCTCTCATCATCTCACTAGCCACAATCACACTTTTATCCAAAGGTTACCCTGTTTAGGAAAGAGTTTTCATTATGTGGATTTGTAATCCTCTTACTGATAAATTCTTAGATGTTAAGATACGTATCTGTAATGCCTTTTATCAGTCACCACTAAATTGCATGAGAGGATAGATCCTTGAGAAGTAAATTCTTTTTTCTCTTAAAACAGTTTCAGGTGAGTCAGTTACCCAGGATTTCAAATTGGACCTTGCTTTTAAGAGCCACCAAGTATAGATTTATTTGAAACACTCATACATTCACTGAATTCTCAGGAAAATTTGGTGAGGGAATTTGTATTTTCCTTTTTACTTTAAGTGCCAGCAGTTGCACTCCGAAGCTGATGCACTGTACAAAATGCTGCTCTTGGGACATGCCCTGCCTGTCTAACTCTTGCATCGGGTCTGTAAAATATTTTAAGCTGCTCAGAATAAGCAATGTAAGAGAAATATGGTGTGGGGAAGACGTTCAGTACTGTCATTTGCTGTATATTATTGCTGAAAGGTAATTGCTAATGATTCCAGGAACCAATTGGAGAGGCGCGGGGCTTATTGTGGAGTGGTGATCAAAAAGGTCAGGTTGAGAGATAACTGCATTTTTCTCTGAGTTTGATACATTTTTGACCTCTTGATTGTTGCTTGCTGTAAAGCTTTTGGAGTTCAGTGTTCCTCTTCTTAAAAATGAGTGAGCTCTTGGTCTTCAGAGGCCAGTAGCATGTAGGCCCAAGCTACTTGGCGGAAGAGGAAGTTTTAGAGTATCTGTCGTGGGACTGACAGTTCCACAAAAGAGCACTCAGCCTTTCCTCTCTGCTTTGCTCCGAATAGGGCTCCCAGAAGGATGCATTCCCAAATCTTTACAGGTTGATTCAGTCCTCACCTCTGCATCATCCCTGTAAGCATAAATGCACACAAGAAGCAAAATGCAAACCAGACTTTCTCATAAACTGAAGTCCTCTCAGCATACTGGTAATAACGACAATGAAATATCTGCCAAAATTAACATAGAGCTGTTTCCTGAGCTAATTAGATATTTTCCTATAGGTAGAAACACCACTAATTCCAAAACTGTTGCTTACCCATTATCAAATGTCAGAGTAAAATCATCCAGCCACCCCCTTTCCATGCGTAGTGACAGTTTCCTGACTGTGATTTCTTCGAGGAGAGCTAGTTTTTGCAACTCAGCATGAGAACCAATAACTCTTATTTCCTCAGGCTGAGTTGAATGCAGGAGACTTACTGCATCTGCCAGAATAGAGCTGTCTAAGGCACAGGACAAATGTCCCCTGTTCTATTATTCTGTGTGGCACCAAGGTTCCTAGGGACAGTGTCTTGTCTTCCAGTGGTTAGAACCCTCTGCTGGATATTTCTGAAAAATTTTACCCTGATGATAGGTAACATGGAAAACTTAATTTTTTTTCCTAAAGGATAAAATTTAAAACATAGAAGTTTTAACTATGTGTTGTTATTTTTAAGTTACTAGATTGATTCAGACACATGTGTCAAACCTCTATGAACTTTTTAATGTCCTGCTGTTTACTCATAGAAAAATAAGACCTGTGTGTTCATTTGGGAGGATTGTATTTTGTCATAAGTAAGTGGCTGGAATGTCTCTCCGGACTGACTTTTCTTCTTGTTGCTTTGTTCTTTACCCAAGTAACTATACTGGAAAGCACCAGAGCCCTTGTATCGAGACCAACATCCAGTCACACCTTGACTCTGTCTTTCATTGCCCTGACAGTAATGTGTTAAATCTAAGTTATCATGTGAATTCAGGATTAGTTACAGAGGCCCAAGTGTGCTGTCTGTTTTAGAAGCAAAACTTCTCCCCACCCCACTCCCCAGGATCTGGGACACACCTCCCTCCCTGTCTTGAGAGTTTCATGCCTTACCAGCTCCTAAAATTGGTCTCTGCCAGGCATGGTAGTGCACACCTGTAATCCCAGCACCCCAGAAGCTGAAGCAGGAGGAGACCTGTGAATTCAAGGCCAGCCTGGAATACATAGCAAGACCCTGTTTCAAAAAAGCAAAACAAAAAGATAAAATAAATTTGGTTCTTGTCAAGTGTACCGTGCAAACAAACTATAATTTTGCTTTCATTCTCATTTTTTTATAGTTCAGATAATTGGGCTATAATTTCCTGAGCAAAACTGATGGAGCCTTACTAAATAATGTAGTCTTAAGCTTCTACCCTTAGAGAATGGGAGTGTCCTTTATTTATTTTTAGTTTGAAAGTATAACAAAAACGTTATCAGAACTAGCAGTTCTTTGATTTTCCTTCACATATGTAACAGAGTGTAGTACAAAGTGAAGCCATGTATGGGCTTCACCATTACACATTAGCTACAGTATCCTAAGTTTTCCTTCATCTGAGCAGCCACAGTGTGCACATGTGAGCATATATGACAGGCAGTAATTTTTTCCTTCTTCCTGAATATTCTGAACTACCTTGGCAAAAGTCTTCTTCCAAAACAAAGGTGGACGAGAAACAAAACACGACTCCAAGAGCAACAGCGGGTCTGAGCTGTGGTGGGGAGCCGAAGCAAGCCCAGCAGTTAGGAAGCTTCTCCCGCTGTTTGACTGAGTATTGGTTGAAAGGACACAGCCGAAACTGTCACTAAAGGAGGAATTAGGCTCCCAGAAAAATCTCTGGGCAGAGCAAAGGCCACTGTGGTGGCTGTGGGATCTGAGATCGGGCTGTGTGGGAAAGGGCGGGGACGTCCAGCCTGTTAGTGTGAAGGTTGGAGGTAACGTACTGCTTCCTCAATACAGAGGCACCAAAGCAGTTCTGAGTGACTAGGATTATTTCTTATTTAGGGACAGTGACATTCAGGGAAAATAGGTAGAGTGAAGTAGATGTTGAGATGGGATCACACAGTGCTGCCCATCCCACTGACGTTCTGCAGTCTTTCATTATGTAAATAATTTCCGTGTCTGTTTTTGGTACTGAGGATCGAACTCATGACCTTGTGGCTGCCAGGCAAGCGCTTATGCCGCCATGCTAAATCATCAGCCATGTCTTTTTTATAAAAAAACTGATGATATATAAACAAAAATAATAACTACAAGACAACATAATATCATACTCTAAGGATTTTCATACTCTAAGGATTATAATAATCCTTAGAGTAAAAGTAATCCTTAAAGATTGTCATATCTCAGAATTCTAGCAAAATAAACGTCCTGATGAGAGTTACACACATGTGCCAAATCAAATGCCTCCTAATACAAACATATTCCTTACAAGAGAACATGAGTCTGTATGTGCATGTGTTCTTGGGTTCATTTGCTGTATGTTTCTGATCAGCATCACAGGAGTGTGCCGACCTCCTGTGCCATAGTGGCTGTCAGGCTAAGGGCCTTAAGATCTTGCCAGCCGGTAACATAGTGTAACAGCTTGTACTACAAACTAAGACCTTTCCCCAACTGTCTGGGCCGCAGGGCCCAGCTTGGGTTCAGTACCACGGTCTCTTCCTTAAGGAACACTGAGCTTGGGAACTCGCTTTGAGATTTTTCCGTATCCGATACCCATGTGCTTGTACACAGAGGAGTACACATGGCTCAGTTCTTTGCAAGTCGGTTGCTGGGCTGTGTGGCTGGGTGAGCAGTGTTCCGGCAGCCTTCCGTCCTGACTTCAGCTCGTGTAACCTCCCACAGGGATGCAGACTTGCACCCAGAGAACCGTGACGCCATAGTGCACAGCCATTCCGTTAAGGGAAGTGGAAACCCTCACCTTTTTAAAAACTATGTTACGCCGACTTCGGCCCCGTTATTTCTTCAGTTCAAGGTTATATTTTCTGCTTCCCACAGACTAAGGTCACTTCTCCATGTTGAGACCAAGAGCGGCATTTGGCATTTGGTTACCCCAAACCCAAACCTCTGACCCTTTGTTTTTAGTACTTTGCCATTTTGCTTTTGCTTTTTTATTTGCTGTGACTCTCTGCTGCCCCCACCTTTTTTTTTTTTTTTTGGTACAATGATTCTTACCTTGTCTTTCCCCAGTCCGTTTCTGACCTGGAGAGACGTACAGCATGTTATTGTCAGGACTTCCCGTGCGGGACATTTGAACGCTAATGACTGGAAAACCAATGCTGCTGGTTTTAAGGGTGAGAACTTCTTTCATATTCTGTCACAGGCAAAATATTTTTATTTTTCTCCCATTTTATGGAGAGCAAGACCTAGAACCCCTCAAACAAAACTTAAAATTTTGTGCTCACAGATGAAGAGCTTGCTCTTCTAGAAACTAAAAGGCAATTGATGTTTTTTAAATTAAAACTAACATATAAGGCAAATTTCCTTGGCTTTCCAGACCACAGGTCAAGTTTTTAAAAGATCAGCCAACCCCCAAGTATAGTTGGCCTATGGGAGTAACAGTTTACTCTTTGCTGTCATTGATAATCTGAGTGATATCTATAAAAATGTTTTTTAAACTTCCTCACCTTCTATGCTGATTACTTTGCTTAAATAATAACTGGTGTACTGTTCACGTTACTGTAGCACTGGTAGGCTATGCATTCGATAAACTGCCGCAAACAAAAGAAAAACAGGCTTACTTCAAAGAGATATTACTTTATATAAACCACAAGTACTTATGAAGCTTTATAGTGTATGTTCCTCATGCAGTAGTGAATGGCACAGAACAAATGCAGAATATTTTTCTCAAGGCTGATGCAGACTGTATTTCCCTCCAGTGGTCTTTTAAACAGTAGCCATTGTGTTTATTGGCATAGATAATATATGTTGTAATAAAAGAAAATCATTATATGGAGCAGATGTGTGGAAGACTATTATGTTTATTCAAGTTGCAGATGACCTAAATTTTAATCTGTTAAATTATAACAAGGATTACTTTTTATCTTATCTATAGGCTTAAACTCACTTCCAATTTAGTATCATATAATTTTATATCATATATTTTAGTACAGTATCAATCATTTATATATGCATATATATTTATGATTCCCTTTAGATGAAAAGTGTTCCATACTATAAGGAATATTCTGAGCAAGTTAAAGTCTAAGAACCCTCCTGTCCCAATTTAAATATTTTGGAAGCTGAATATTATATATGTCTGCTGTCTTAACATATGATCTTAATGCATAGTAGAATGTATATTTAAAAGTTATTTGCAAATCATTTACTATAGACCCATCCTTGGCCAGAACCAATAAATATCTCAGATAACCAGCACCACATACATAGTTCAATTAACATCTTCACCAAAGGCTTCACTTCACTTTTAGAAAAATAACAATATTCCTGTCTTTTGATTCTTATCAAGCACTTCTTCCATGCCTGTAAACTCTATAATACAGCAGAATTCAATGAATTCTAAAGAATCATGAATACCTGTTGAGATCTCATTCTCTCAAGCTCAGAGCAAGATCCTTGATCTCCAAATTGCAACTGTATGGGCCACATCAAAATTATTTGAAGTGTGAGTTGTTTTGGAAAGTCCAGAATGTAATTTTCCACATATGTTTCATCGTGATCACTTTCCACTAGGTCCCAGCTCCTCTACATAAATCCATGAGGTCATCAGGGAACAGGACCAACACGTAACCTTGGCTGCTCCCAGGTTGAAATGAACTTCGTAGTAGAAGGTTCACAGACTAAGCACACTGACCTCTGTGGAACTCAATCAACATTAGCCCAAATAAATGGCTTAGTTTTACTTATTCCTTTTTGGCAACTTAAAAAGAGCAAATGGTTCTAATAAAATATGCAGCTCTTTTGAAAACCTTTGTTGGTTTTGGAGAGGGGGAAACAGAGGATTTAGACAAAATCACTAAACCCAAACCTGAATGCGAAGGGGGCTGTACGTTGCTTCTGGCAAAGAGGAAACAAGATCTTACTATTGCACGTGGCGATATTTAGTATAAGGTTTCACTTTCTCTTACATAGCTGCCAAGAGTAACAATTAAAGCTCGCCCTTTCCTAGATGAATTACTCAGAGAGGTCTGGCCTCCCTGTGGAATCGTTTTGTAATTTTGTTGATGGCAGGCCCCATATTTCATCTAAACATGATCATAATGAGATGATACTTTTTAAAAGTTATTTTCTTCCCCACTCTGAAGATTACCATCCCCTCCCAAGAGTCCCACAAATAAAAGTGATTGGGGTGGGGACCAGCAGAAGAAGCCACATACTTTGGGGAAGCAGAGAATGCAGGTCACCGGGACTGGAGAAAAATGGGATTTTTATGAAATATTAGCTGGAAGAATAAAAAGGAGCTAATATTTGGAAGAGGTTCATGCAACCGGAGCTCTGGAAGAGCTCTGCCTTCATATTGAGTCAGCCAGGTTTTACGGGCCTTGTCTTGCAGGAATCTGTGGCCTCACAGTTCCCCTTACTGGAGGGGCTCCCCCTGCCCACCGAGTTCCATCCTCACCCCACAGAGGCGTGCAGTTCCCTGCAAGCAGACTGGCCCCGTCCTCAGCCGTGTGTGTTGTGGGCCCTCTTAAAGGGGTTCCTGCTCTTGGCTTCTCATGAACAGGTTCTTAGGGGAAGAGGCTGGCCAAGAAAGGCTCTCTGTCCAATGACGTCTGTGTTTCTCTGGGTTGCGTCCTCATGAGTGAGGTCCAGAGAGCTTTCTCCTTAATTCCTGTGCTTTCAGAGCAGTACCCTATCACTGACACCGCAGCAGGAAGAAGCATATAGGGAAGGAAGCTCAAAGATGCAAGTTACAGTCCACGTGCTTATGCTAATGGTGGTGTGATTTTTAATAATTTTAATTGAATGTAGGATTGTTCTGCCTTGCTGCTTCTTCAATAATAATAATAATATAATCTCTTGTAACAGTTAAATATCTTTCACAACAGATTAGTTTTTCAGAATAAGTATAATTCAATGAATATATACCTGTGGAAGAAGCATGGATATGCCCTGCTCATCTTGTGAATAACTGTAGTTAAATTTCAGACAGTGGCTTCCACTGTCCACCTCCTCAAGAGGTAGTTTTTTGAAAAATAAATGGAGTAAATGTGCACCTATGAAAGAATCCACTTGAAATTTCGCATGAGAATAGGAAATTATAAGTCATAGGCTAGATAAACAGATGTGGTTTCTTGAAATCCAAATTCCAGGATTTTGCTAATGCCCAGTGTTTGCAATGCCAGGAGATAACTTTGGCATTCAACTGTTTGGGATTTTTGTCAGGATTCTTTTCTCCCTTGATCTCTTCTTTTTTCCTTTTATAAAAAGTATTTTCTGGTTTTTTTGTTTGTTTGTTTTGCTTTACTTTTTAATTTTTTTTTAATTGTTTCTCGTGTTTCTTAAAAGATACCAAGACTTGCCACCCTGGTGGTTTTTTTCATTGAATTTAATTCATGCTGTCTTTCATTTATTGATTCATAAATATTTCCCCGGTACCTTCAACATGTGAGCCCAGCCTATGCTGAAATATACCCAGAAAGCAGTAATAAAGTCAGGGACGCCACTGTGTTGTAGTCTGATCTCCTGTGGCATAATTTAAATACAATACAGAAACAGATATTTATGTGGCAGCTAGTTTTATTTTTCACTCTGTGCCCCAACTCTTTTCCAGGTCATGTTAGATAACAATGTGGATGATCCTTTTCCCATCAGCTAACATTCACTCCAATCTCAGAAACAGCAGGCATGCAAGACAGAATACTCACTACAGGTTACAGGCAGATTTTGATCAGCTCTGCTTGGGCACACAGATTCTATGAACCCAAACGCACATGCCAGAATCTCTAGGTGTTTTATAAAGTCTGGGGATTGGATCATTTCAGGAGGATGTTAGCTCTTAGGATCATCTCCCCTGTCCTGCTTTAATCTGAGGAAACTGCAAATCGCCATCCCTCTCTCCCTCAGGTGCCTGGGCTGTGCAGCCCGATTCTTTGCCCTGCATTCTAGTTCTGGTCTGAGCATACAGTTACGGTTATATTGAAATGCCTGGACATCAGTGCTTTAGGTTTTTGTCAAAGTATTTGTATTTGAGTAATATGACTATATACAATTAAACTCTTAAATCTAGGAACAGGACTACACATCAGATAATAAATTAGGACCTTCTGTCATCTTTACTAGGTGAAAGAATGAAAAAAATGTCATTGAAAATCAAACATGACAAGTAAGTGAGCGAGGTAACCACGTCCTCCATCTCACTGCTCTCCCACACTGTAAGTGTCCTCCTTCTCCAGCCTGTGGCCGAGACCTCCCCACCCCACTCACTCTTTCTTTGACCACCACTAAACTACTACATTTTTTAATCTCTAACTGATTACCACCATGGGGAAAACATTGACAGTCTAACCTGACTTCTTAGCCTCCGAGGCCTTAACTTCTAATAACCTTTATTACTTTAATAGCCATCATTTTATTTCCACGGGTAGGACTGGTAATTTTAAGATGTGCCAATATATTTTTAATACTACCTGTCTTGCTTTTAGCTGGTAACACTTATTAAAAAGAATTACAAGTGCTGAAGCCATTTTAGCATGCCGTGTGTTGAATCAAAATGCAAGAGTTTGAATTTTCCTGTGTGTATATGATTTCTAATGTCTTCCTGTTTGAAAGAGTCAGTTTCACTTTATTTTATTATTTCAAATAATATTCCATCTTTGCCAGTCAGTATGTGGGCTTTAATGGTAGCTATAAATAAAGGTATATAGTACACCTTTATAGATAATCTCTACATCGTGTTATGATGAAAGATCAAAATGCAGTGTGCTCGTGTGGTCAGTGTCAGAGGTGGGACTGGAGGCACGTTTCACTGTGGTCTGAACCCATTTACCAAAAAGAAAATGCAGTTATTACTTAGAAGGACAGGGGAAGTAAATACATTTCATTTTACCTAGTAAAACTTGCTCTCTGAAAGTGCCACCTAGTTTTTCTAAGATTCTACTTTCCATACTGTGTGAATTCATATTTAGTGATCATTGTGTACGTGAGTTTACCTTCTAGTTCATCTACAAAAAGTTTTGACTCATACAGTTTAGAGATGTTACCATCATTCTTTTGTCTGGTGGATGACTTAACCTAAGCATCTGCCTGAGAATATAGAACCCCTGACATCAAAGCTGCTTACCCATTGCTTGGTTTAGAGTTGTGTATTCATGGTGTGCCATCAGACTATTCA